TGCCTGCATGTATGTGAACCTCGCTAGAGTTTGGACATGTGACGGATTTTAGCCATATTAAGCACGAAAAGAGTTTATGCACTGTAGATCAGTGTCCAGTATTTTCTCGAAAACGGCCATAAAGATTTTAATGAAACTTCAGTAACGTGTTGAAACCATCTCCTTAAAGCGGCTGCGTAGGTCTCATGTTCAGGAAAATAACTACGCCATCTAGCGGCACAAACACGAAATGTCAGGTTTCTTGAAGCGGCTTGACCGATTTCGATTAAAATCTAATCACCTGTATAGGCAGTAGATGCAAGTGATCTGAACAGAGCGGGATTGGAACAAGGGACCCCAGACCTGGGATCAGAAAATAATTTTCTATAAATGTTTATTTTAGGCTAGTTGAAGGGTGTGTTCCATGANTTTTATTATCATGGATTAAAAATTGTATACACATAGAATATGTATTTATTCTTAAATGTTTATTTTAGGCTAGTTAAGGGTTGTGTTCCATGAAGCGTGCGTGAGAAAATTTGTGCAGTGTCTTTGTACTCATTTTTTCAGCGAGTCGGTTCTCCAGACAATTAAAAGGGAGCAAGCTCTGCTTACATTCTTAACTTGTTTTGCTTGATTTCGTGGAAGCTACCGAAGACTCTATATATTGTGACGTTTATGAGCGTTACTAACGACGGGATTTTGGATTTACTGACCACTTTGACACATGACTCGTTACTACAAGCAATTACAGCGGCATCGCTAATCACCACACTTTACATATCACTACAGCACACTCCAAGCCTTCTCAGTCTGTCACTAGTCGTTTCCCGGTAAAGGATCTTAACAATGGAGATTCTTAAGTTTCTGTGTTCATGTCGTTACTGTCCGGCGAATATCCCACAACTGAAGCAAACTCGGAACTTGTCCCACTTATTGCCCATTGGTATGGATCTCTTAAAAGACACCTTTAATTGTACTCCAGTCGTTTCTATGGGAACGTGTTTGATTGTGAAGGCAGTTACGGATGGGTATACTTGCATATTAAGAATCGGTTGCCTAGCAGCGGATGTTTCGTTGTTTGTTTCGAGGTCGTTACCCAGTAACGGGTCTACACGCTACAGTGTTTATATATATATATATCTGCGCATATAAGCCAGTTGCTTGCAGTTCTTCCGTGTTCTGTGTTGAGTTAAGATTACAGTTTACGAATAGGACCGCCAGGTGACAGTAAGAGGCGCCTATGTTTCAGTTGCGACCGAAAACAAATTTCCGTTGTTGGTAGCGTGCGTATTCCGTGAAATCCTGACTTGAGTCAACGGAGGGGTTATCTTTTGGAACTGTTGCTGGAGAACGGAGCACGCGGTAGCGTAGTTGGTTGATGCACTATGCTACATGCCGGAAGGTCGCGGGTTCAAGTCCCGATGAGGTCATTGGATTTTTTTTTTTCGGTTGATCTATTCCTTCCAGCCGCACTATGGCCCTGGGATTCACTCAGCCTCTAACAGAAATGAGTACCAGGAATTAATTAATTTTCCTGGGGGCTAAAGCGCGGCCGGCGCGTGAGACTGACAACCTTACCGCCGTCTTTGAGCCGATTGTGTAGATAATGTTGGGAGCCTCAACATCTCACAACCCTATGGGCCTCCACGGCCTGTTACAGGGATAGCTTTACTTTACTTACTTACTTTACTGTTGCTGGAGATGGGAATTGTTTATTTTGAAGCTTCCGCCCGTTTGTATGCACTTCGCGTCTTTCAGAGCAATGTGTAGCAGCGTGTTAACGAGAAGATCACGGAATGTACATGGCGAAAGGACGGAGAGTATGGCGCTAGTGTCGAAGTGAGATCTATCACTAAAATTTATAAGTGCTCTGACAGTGTTTATGTTGTGTCTGACAGTCAAATCACTCAACCACCAACCATTGTTATAATTGTGTTGTCTGAACGAAATGTATTTCAATTGTTTAGTGACGGAATAGACAGTTATTTTTGATGAAGTTTACGTTTATTGATTTTTGCGAAAACATGTCTGGATAACAGCACCGCTTATTGCATATTTTTATTTTATTTTTGTTTAATACTGTAAATCCTCTTGAGATGCGTTTGTTATGCGTCAGTTATTTTTACTGTGAACTTGCATATGCCTGTGCTTCCTCTTGATCTTGTATAAAGTGTGGAGGTGTTTTTAGACGATGAAGAAAGCAGTCTTATGGGATATGGCACCGCGTAGATGTGTTAACCGACGTTTCGGAGGAACGTATCGCATTCATCTTTGGGGTAGAAGGAAAAATAAGAAAATCCGCAGACTGCCAGCACCTGTTCTCACTGTCTCTTCGCTTGCAGATTTTCTTATTTTTCCTTCTACCCTGAAGATTAAGGCGATACGTTTTTCCGGAACAGCGGTTAACACCACGTCTACACGGTGCCAAATCCCAGAGGACTGCTTTCTTCATAGTCACCGCCGTGAAAACCTCAGATGTTACATAGTGTTTTTAGACGCTTTCGGTCAATATGAAGTAAGCGCTGTAAATGATATCGCGGTCCCCGTCCCACATTTGATGAGAATGTGTTGAGTAGTTTGTGCAATAAGCGATTGATACGATCTAGCATGAGGGTTCGACACTACTCGTACGAAGGTAATTAAATGTCTGCGGATGGACACGTGATGGAAGTGGAAGATAGGAGAGAAACACATTAGGATAGTAAAAACGAGAAATGATATCAAATCCGATACGCAGTGGTCCCGATTTAGGAGAAAGTGGTGAAACTGAAAATAAGAAAACAGGAAACAGAATGAGGAAACAAAAGAACAGAGAGGAGCAAGAAAATAAAATAAAAAAAACGATTCTGGATAATGGGATTGTTGGGAAATAAAGTGGAAAACTAGTTTGAAGTTGCGATGAGTAGCGAGTGAGTATAACCAGAAAGGGGCATGGCAAGACATTGACAGATTGCAGCAGTGTAACCTGGGTTTTCTAAGTGCAGTTTGGGTCTTATGAATACGTTCTTCTGTCATTTTAAGCGGCAAACTAGCAGGTTGGTTCAGCAGGAGCATTACGGAATTTATTCGGGAAGTACCGGGTTCGAGTCTTGACTGGCTAAGAGGAAGCAGCTGCAGGTGAGAAGACGTAAAGAAATTTATAACCGTTACAGTTAACATTGTGGGCGATTAATGAGTTAATTTATAGAAGGTAAATTCAGACTCAAACACTTACACCCTCGCAATGGATACAGAAGTGAAGTCCGCATGTTGACGCGCTTGGCCCTGTGTGTTTAACATTTTTTGAAGCCTACTGTGACCTTTAATTTCTTTTTACGCATTCTTCTGTCATTTATTTCTTGCATAACGTCAGGTTTCACATACTCTGAACTGCCACCATACTCCCTGTTACCCTCATTCGCTTCAAGCTGAGGAATTATTTAATCTCATAGAACTTTCTTAGTCTTCATTATACTCTCATTCGACGCTAAATAGCCTCTCCAGTCGGTTAAGTGTTCAAGGAATCAGTGAGTAATTGTTCGGAGCCGTGTTGAGTCAAGGACTGCAATGAGCTCTGGTCGGATCTCGGTTGCAGCGTTGCGAGTCATCACGTAGGCCATCTAATGACGTTCTGTTTACTGCAGACTTTATTTATCTTCGAACTGAATATCAGGATGATATACAGGTGTCCCAGGAAGAAAGGTCAGTATTCTGGGAGGTCATAGTATCGGCCATTTTACGCAAGAAAGAAGTGTATGTGTACATGTGTCCTATTCCGAACGGTTTCCGAGGTAGAGCTGGTTCACTGTGCAGTTCCAAAATTGGCAATAAGAAAGAGAGATTACGTATTTATTCTAATACCGGTTTTATTGCTCAAGTGTCAAAGTCTGTACAGTTTGCCTGGTATAGTACTGTGACATGACGCTTGAAAGCCGGAATAGTGGAGTCAGATTGGAAGTTGATTTCCTAGGCATTGAGTATTAACAGAGCACGTTCCCATTGCAACGGGTTACCATGAGATTATTGTACATGCACTTCCATGGCAACACTCGACTAGGCGTATTGGTTATTGTGGAACTGGAGGTGTTTCCGTGGTAACTCGTGCTTAGGTAGACAGTTACCGCAGATACGAAATAGGGAACTCTTCAAGGAGGCGTTCCCTGTCCCAGCCGCTGAGGCGGGAGGCGGGGTCGAATGCCTCCTTCTTAACCCTGCGAGTCGTAGGAGGCGAGGAAAAGGGATGTCTCAAATCTGAGACAGTAAAATATGGTCGCGAGTCCCAAGGTACTCGGACGCGGGAAAGACTGCGCTGACAAGGACCAGCAGTATATAAAAAAGAAAGACCCGTCCTCTCGTCAGAGAGGGCGCCCCACAAAAAAACAAAACCAGAACCAGGTTTGAACCCGGGCCTCCGCGGTGGGAAGCCAGCGACTAACCGCTTGAGCTATGGTGCGACCATAAACAGTTCATTCCTTTAGACCACGCGGCCACTGTGATCAGCGGTATTAACAGTTAAGTAAGGAAACAGCAGCATAAACCAATGATGACACGGCAAACTAAGGACGAAATGGCCGTGCCATAGCTCAAACGGTTAGTCGCTGGTTTCCCACCGCGGCGGCCCGGGTCTGGTCAAGTTGGATTTATGGTGGACAAAGTGGCGCTGGGGCGGGTTTTCTCCTAGTACTTCGGTTTTCCCTGCCAATCTTCATTCCACCAAATTCTCCGTCATCTTAATGACTCGCGGCAGGCTACAATAGGCCAATCATTGGCCGCCGTGCCGAGCGGACCCAGTTGGACTCCACCCCCAATAAGCAAATTAAAAAAAAACTAAGGACGAACAAGGTTTCACTATCATTACACATTTAACTAGGAGGCCTGTTGTATTGGATGTCAAAATGTGGCCGCACACCAGTTAAAGAGTACTGTCCTGGATTGTGGATTTCTCCTGTAAAATCATGATCTCTTCAGCATCTTTAAATTTGTGTGCCGCGTTTGCTCAAAGCAAAGTGAGTAATAATGTTTTCTTTGTTTCTTTTCAGTGTGATAGCGAAGGTGAAGACGATAAGGTAAGTGTTAAACCTGAATGTTTTGCGGGGTTGGTGGGAATGGTTGCAGTAGCCGAGCGGTCTAAGGCATGAACTGTCTTCGCTTGCTCGGACGCTGGGATCGTGGGTTCGAATCCCACTCAAGGCATGGATGTTTGGTGTGTGTATGCGTTTATTCTGTGTCTGTGTTGTCCTGTGTTCAGGTAGTGGCCTTGTGACTGGCCGATCACTCGTCCAAGGAGTCCTACCGTTTATGGAAAATGATTACGGAACTGGTTTTGTGAGGGTATAGTTGTCACAGCTGTTAACGGCGCGGCATATGAAGACAGTGGTACGTGTTATTGCTGTCATTGATGGGACTGTGTGTGTAAGAGTTGGTGAACGAGCCGCTCATAACGAATGTATTAACGTTTATCACTGTCCTCTGTTTTACTGACTCCCAACGTAACTTCAAAATACACTTTCTTAATCTTTACTATATAGAATTGTATAAACGTTTTACTCCGACTGAAATTGTGCATGAATGGAATGGTCCATGGGGGCATACCAGTCTGGATATCGTGGAGGGGAGAGAAATCTCTCCCCTACCGGGGTTAGAATTCCGACCGTTCGACAGTTCAGCCTGTAGCTAGTCGCTGTACCGACTGCGCTGTCCCGGTTCCTGCAAAGAGCCAATAAATTCGGAATACTTGCTTTTGATTCATTGTATTTAAAAGCAGTATATACAGATGTTAATAGGAGCCGGGATAGCGCAGTCGGTATAGCGACTTGCTACGGACCGGAGTTCGAGACCCGGTAGAGTCAAGAATTTTCACTTCTCCATATCGTCCAGACCGGCTCTGGGGTCCACCCAACCGCCTATCCGATGGGTACCGGGGGGGCTTTTCCCCGGGGATAAAGCGGCCGGGGGTGAAGCTGACCACTGACCTCCAGCTAATGCCGAGATCAAGGAGATGTGTATGTATACCGTATTTACGCATGTATAGGCCGCACATTTTTTGCCAAAAAATTCAAGAGGAAAATTTTCAAAATATTCGAAATCACACTTCATTTAAAAAAAAATATATGCATAATTAGTAATACAGGGTGTTCTACTCCTGAAATAATATTCCAAGAAAATTATTTTTTCTATAATTTCTGTCTGAAAATTGTGCTGCGGCCTATACACGCACGCGGCCTATACATGCTTAAATACGGTAAATCCACCCCACCATACGCCTTAATGGCATAGCGCTTAATTAGTTAAGCACAGGGACAGCTTTAAATACAAATGTTACATGTAAGTAATCGAATGCATACCTGAATAAATTTTCTTTAAAAGTGACAAAACATAATTCTTCGGGGATGATGAAGCAAAGAGCTGTTCATTTGTATTTTCTTCTCCCAATTATCTCTCGAACAGTCTCCTAAATTCTGGTTGTAGAACTTAAAATAATTTTGTGTAACGGTATTTTATGTATGAAAAGCCTCAATTCATCATTCCTTCTGAAGACGTTTCAAATCGTACGTAGACGGTACTGACTTCTAATGCTGTCGGTTGAACGACATGTAAACTGCGCATTCACACAGTCGCGTAGTGGTGTTTGTACGCGTCTCTACTGGGGTTAATATTGGTTATTGTGATTACCGCATTTTGGTAGGTACGGTCGTATTGCCATCTCACGAATTCTGGCGGTCGCTACTTCGGAATTAACAAATCGTTTAAAATGAAAAATTTCGAGCTCGGAACGGTCTTCAGTGAAAAGAAAAAAGAAAGTTCGAAATAGATTTACTCAAAAACCATCGAGGGATACGGCGTGACACGTGTGCAGACACACTGGCATGGGCCATATGCGTTCTTTTCAAGCACATTATGCAGTGCTTGCTTAATAACGAAAGTTTTATAGCGGAAAATCCATTCGGTACCCTCAGGGTTCTTGCACAGTTAGGAGAGCGACTTTTATAGACGGGTGCAAGGACCAGCATATGCCAACTCGGGTGTACGTTGGGTATCAGGTCATACGGATGTCAAAAATAAATTTATTCGCGATATAAATATACAGTCTGATCGAAACCGAAGCGCGGAGGGAGCATCGGAAATAAGAAAATGAGGCAGACAACAATATTAAATACTTCATCGTGCCGTTTAAACGATATTCTTTACACACCAAGGGCCTGTACTTCTTAAAGTAGTTTTTATGTTATTTCTCGGCCTGTTTAGCTCATGAGCGTTCGCATGTACATAAAACGTCCCTTGGAGAGACTGTCACGACATTGTGTCAAAGCATCGGAACGGGGACGTAAAAAGTCGTTCCTTGTAATAAAAAGCAACTAATAAAACATGCGCATTGGCTGAACAGAAAGAGGAGTGATAGGGTAACACAGCTCGTCGGGGCGTGGAAGGGATGACGATCACATGAATATCAATTTCTCATTGTACTTGACTGGATGAGTGAATGTTGTCACGTGTATGGAGTGTGACTGTAGACGGGGTTTGGATTGGTAATCGGATTTATTGGATTCTCTTTATCGATACTTCACAACTAGTAATTATAACGGTTCCACTAATTTACACACTTTATACGGTTAAATAAAGCACACATTAAGTCTTCTCAGCCTGCTGTGTCTTCACCAGTCGTCTGGTAACGGCTTCCAACGGTGGTCGTTCGCCTTCGTGTAGGTTCCCCAACTGTCTCCAGCGTCAGCTACCAGCTTCTCACAACTCATAATGACTGAACCCCAGCAGTCCCTAACTCATCAGCAAACCAACCATCTCAACTGACTCTCACTCAAACTCATATTGCGACTGACGGCAAGTCAGCCAAGTCAGTCTTGGTGTTGAGCCCAGTCTGGGGCTTATGACCAGATATTTATTACAGTTGAACAGTTTTTGTCTTGTTATTGTGGGGCGCCCTCTCTGACGAGAGGACGGGTCTGTCTTTTCTCAGAGTAATTGTCTGCAGTAGTAAGTCATTTGTCACAATGGAGCGGATATTTACATTTTACATGTTAAACATGATAATAAATGTAAATAAAATATATACAGGGCCTCTGTCAGTCCAGGCTCAGTACAGCAGATTATGCCCAATTTCTAGTAGCTTCCGCTACAACGGCAGTCTGGTCACTGTCGCTGTCTTTGCTACTGGCTTCACAGCTCTTGCCTTCAGCAAATATGCCACATTATCATGGTCATAATTTTACTTGACTTCATGAAAGATCTATCCACGTTTCAAATGCATCTGGTAGTTTCACAGATGTGCGTAAAAATTCATGCGAGTTCGCCTGACACGAACTTTCGTGGTTTGAAATTTAAGCAGAAACAAGGCATTGAGTTGAGGACACCTACAAAGATGATGATGCGCACTGGAAATGTCTACCGACAGTCCGCACGCTCAAATTTTATTTTGTCAAAATTCCCTGGAAACAAATAAACTCCGTGGTTTAGTCCGAAGGCGAACTATACCGACCGAGCGACCGCCGCTTGTCGGCGAATTTAGTGTCAAAATGCCGTAACCTTTTCTAAATTGATTTTTTTTAAATACAAGTTAAAACATGACCGTTTTTATGCAGTATTTATCTTGAAAGTCGTTGAAAAGCCACAAGTAACTGTATAAAGGAGGGGCACCGCCATAGCTCAAGCGGTTAGTCGCTGGCTTCCCACCGCGGCGGCCCTGGTTCGATCCCGGGTCTGGTCAAGTGGGATTTGTGGTGGACAAAGTGGCGCTGGAGCAGGTTTTCTCTGAGTACTTCGGTTTCCCCTGCCAATCTTCATTCCACTAATTGCTCCACAGTCACCCTCACCTATCATCTGGGGCTGGTACAGTAGGCCAGAAATGACCGCAGTACAAGGGACTTAGTCCCACCCTACTAGGAATAAAAAAACTGTATAGAGGAGTACAAATTATCTTTAGACTCGGTGAAATTTATTTCACATGCAAGCTGCCTACACAAATATAAACGTTTTAGGACATAATGAGCAACACTCGAAGTTTGTGATACGAATGTAGTCCGCTTGAATATACATGCTCGTCCACTAGGTTCGCTGCAGTCGGAGAAGCAAGAAATGGCGACGAAGGAAGTTTGAGTGATACCGCAGCTTTAACAAGACCTAGGAGACACATTCATTCTTCTTTGAAGACGACCGTACGTATATCCGTTTTCACCGTAATGTGGCAGATTTTTTAACGAAAATTTGTCTGGTAGATACAGTAGAAGAGGTGGACTTGCGGATTGGCCTGCCGGGTCTCCAGCCTCAACTCCGCAAGATTTAAGAGGAGGGGATGTCAGTCCATCTGTACCCCGCCAGGGCCTCAATATCTAATTCAATTCAAATAGTCAGAATTCGTGTCTCATTTGAATCAGTTGGTGTTCGGGTGTTAGACAGTATGTGAAACGAACCTGATTGTCATTCTGATGTGTGTAGAGTTGCCAGTGGTTCTCTGTCTTCAGAGTCTATAAAACTGTGAATGTTGTTTACTAAGTCCTATAATTTCTATTGTAGTAATTGGTAGCTTAGTAGGTTATTCAAATCAAAACTTCAAAAAGCGTGAGGATAGTCCATAATCGCAATGTATATGAAGAATAAGGCTTGCCATTCTGTAGTTATATTTATCGTGCATGAGTCATAATAGTGTGTACTTACGGAGTCACACGTTGGTAACAGTAAATAGCAGCGGGAGGTACTCTGCTTCAGTCGGTATTGCAGCCTGGACCTTTTTCGATAATTGTTAGCTGTAGGTAGCGGCATCGCTTATTCACTGTCTTTCCAAAACTTTCCCCGAAGTTCATAGCGTGCATATTCAGCGAAATTAGACAACTTGTAACGTACACTTTTCATGAAATTGGAACCCACCCTCCAAAAGGCATGTGATACAGTGCGTTTTCCAGTATTTTAAACCTCCGTCCTTCCCCTAGAGCAAGAAACCGGTACGTACAGGACGATGTGTAATAAATTATGAGCTTAGAAGCATTGTTTCTTATTCTTTGTAGTTGGCTGTGCGCGCTCGTTTTAGCTTCGTTGTGGCAAAGTGAATATGGCATGA